AATGGCTGGATGGAAGAAAGCAGAGGGTTGTTATAAATGGAGTTCAGTCAAACTGGATTAATGTTGCAAGTGGGGTACCTAAGGGCTGTCTTTTTAACTTTCATCAATGACATAGATAAAGGAATGGTCAATAAGTTACTTAAATTTGCAGATGATATTAAGGTCTTGGATGTTGCTAGCTGTGGAGAGGATGCTGCTGATTTACAAAGGGATTTAGATCATTTAGTGAGTTGGACAAATAAATGTCAGATGAGTTTTAATTATAATAAATGCAAGATAATGCATGTAGGTTATCATAATTTGAATTATAAGTATAATTTGGATGGAAATAACATTAACAGTGTTATGAAAGAAAGGGATCTTGGTGCAATAGTTGATCAGTATCTAAAGGCATTCAAGCAGTGTGCTGCTTGCTATTAGTGGTAGGATAAATAAGATTTTAGGTTGTATCTACAGAAATATTGAATACAAGTCTAAAGAGGTTATAATTTCATTGTACAGGTCACTGGTTAGGTCACATTTGGAGTAGTGTGTTCAGTCTTAGTCTCCTTACCTTAGGAAAGACATTGAATTGTTGGAAAGGGTTCAAAGGAGGGTTACTAGAATGGTGCCTGGGATGGATAGGTTATAATATGAGGAAGGATTAAGATCTTTAAAATTGTTTTCCCTTAAAAAAAGAAGAGTTAGTAATGGATCTGATAGAAATGTTTAAGATTGTAAAGGGAATTGATATGTGTTGATGCATCATCTTTTTTCATACTTAATGGTGAGAATAGTAGGACTAGGGGACACAAATATAAATTTTGGCAAGGTAGGAGTCATCTTCAGCTAAGACAGTTTTATTTTTCTAACAGGGTGGTTGGCCTTTTGGAATGGATTGCCGTCAGATGTTGTAGAGGCAGTAAATTTAAGTGAGTTTAAGAAAAAGCTTGATAAGTATATGAATGAAAAGGGCTGGGTTTAAAATTTTATTATTATTATTATCTTTTAATCATTTTAATTGAGTTTTGAGGATGGAACAGCCGAGATGGACCAATATATCCCATGTTGTCCCAAAATATTATGTAATGTTATTATGTTATGACAGCAGATTATCAGCCCAAATTTATGGTTGAAATTAATTAGTAATTATTATTTAATTTTTTTTAGTTATTAATTAATAATTAGATTAATGTGATCACATTAGCTAAAAATCATGACAATATTTGATTAACTATTTAATTCTAAGAACTCTTATATCAGTGCATTTATAATGATCCTGGAATTTGATGTTTTGCATAGATGATAATACAACACTCTTAATGTTTTAAACTCTCAAGCTACCATTGAGCAACCACTGTATACTTTACTAGGAGCAGGTACTGCTTCTCTTTATACTGGGTGGATTATCACGATGAAGTGAAGTTATTTGGTGTTACATCTAGGTAACTCAGTTAGTAGGGTATTGGTCCCAGAGCAGTAGTGTGAATCAACAGTTCTAGTTTCAACTTTATTTCAGGATAGAGCTATGTGTATGATTGTGAGTCAGCTGTAGAATGGCCAGTGTATTGTGTTTTGGCCCTCTGAAGATGAATGATCTATTATGTGTTGGTGGTTTGAGCCTTTTTTGAGTGGGAGAATTATGTACTAGTTAGGATGGGAGTTACCTGCTTGAATGTGAATCCTAGTATCTCAGTTGTTAGATTGCTAGTCTCAAAGCGCTAGGAGAAGGGTCCTTGTTTAAAGTTCCCAGATAAGGAAGGTTTTCTAAGAGCATGATTTGTTACAGTGTTTAATGTTGTAGTTTGGATTTTCAGAATATAATGGAATTATAACAGATACTGTGCAGATTGGCAGGATAGAGTGAAACATGGTGTATGCTATACAAATTAACAGTATGTTATTTGTAGATGACATGAAAACTTTCAGGATCCAATATGCCCAGTAGTGTAGGTGATTAAAGTATCTACCTACTTAGCTGAAGCACATGTTTAACTCAATGGGTTAAGCTGGATCACCTTTCTGGAATGACATGCACTGACTCTGGAAATGTTTAAGAATAGAATTTTAGATGAGACTTATCTAATTATGTAAGGGGACCTATGAGAGTAAAGAATGTGTAAAAAAATAGAGTAAGAACATAAAATTTTATATTAAGTAAAGAAGATGATATACCAATTACATTTGCATTACTACATATGCATCATTAGCTGAAAGCAAGAATAGGTACTGGACTGTTACTTATTTTGAGATTGAACAAAAGATTAAGTTAAAGACAGCAATACTACTTTACAAGATTTAGGATGCCATTATTTTAAGCAAGTGTGCTATTGAGACATTGTTGAATCATTAAAATAATTATGTTGCCAGCAATCACCTTAGCATCAGAGCAGATATAATACTGTCTGGATCAAAGTAAGCTAAATTGAAATATTAGATCTTCATCACTAAGATAAAACCCAAAAATGGTACCACTAAATCTAGGTGAAAAGCATGAAGAGCATTAGTATTAAATATGGAAAATAAATAGATATTTTGATTTATAACTCAAGGAATGTAAAGATGATAAATGTCATTGGCCTTAAATATGTAAAAAAAGGAAGAGAATTTTAGCATCTTTTGGTGCTAGTTTTGCTGTTGTTTCAAAAATAACTTTTATAACTGTCTAATTAATTTCAAAGTTTTTATTTTACATTATTTTATGTTATTAGTATGGGTTAACCCACAAAAATGTATACTAATTTTTTTTTTTTTAGTGTTGAGACTTGATAATACACAAATGAGTAAGTTGTTAAATGCTATAAGATACACAGGTATTACTAAATTAGTAAGAGTTTTGATTTGTTATTAATTCAAATACGTTACTTAATAAAGCAGTCTTTGTGTTTATAAATGATGTTACTTGATTACTTATATATGTATTCTATTTACATGTTTATTTTATTTATAGGAGTTGGAGCAACAGCATTTGTTCATAGTGCAGTTTGTAAGCCAAGGAATGAAAAGTGTGCCATCAAGAGAATCAACCTGGAAAAATGGAACACTAGCATGGAGGAACTTCTTGTAAGTTTATATATAATATATATATGTGTGTGTGTGTGTATAAACCTTTGAAGCTAGTTTAACAAACAGTACTCGCTTTTTTGCAATACATGATCCGAGTGCATTTTTTTTATCAATTATATATAAGCATCCAGAAATTAATGCTGATTTAAAGGACTATAAGTAATTGACCAGATCAGACTTGCTGGTACACAATATTAAAACTTTATTTAGAATATATCTAAAATTTTCTTGAAAGCTCATGTGTGATTTATTTTTACTACATGCTATACATAACCAATTTTATGCTACTATTTTTATTGGAGTTGAGAAAAACAAACCAAACCAAAATGTCCAAATACATTTTGATAATCTAAAAATAATATCATACTCATCGAGACAAGAAGCTGTATATTAATTTTCTCCATTTGCTTTCAAATTCAAATATTAAGCCTACTAAGTCTGTGGTGGCACACAATGCTTTATTACAAGAAACCATCATAATCTAGTAGCCAAACCACTGTATATAATAATAAAATCTTCTTTAAATCTATACTGTTACCAAAAATATACTTTGTTAAAATAAAGTTTTGTATAAAAATAACTAATTAATACACACAACTTTATTAAAAAAATTCAAGTTATGAGATTGTTCACCACACAGCATTTCATCAAGTGAAATGTTTGAGATAACTAATTGTTCAAAGATCATACTTTACTTTTAAAAATAATTTCAAGACAATGAAATATCATGGACTTTATGAACATGCAAACAATAACTCTCTTAGCTTATTAAATCTTATTACTTTATAGTTGAAATAGTTTGATAAAATAATAATTTTATAATTTTCCCTACATCCCCTTCCATCAGATAAGTACCCCTACCTTAATATAGACAATATATACATAAACTTTAATTCAAGATGGTTTCATTTCAAGGTAAATATGTATAACAAAACTTGAATCCTTTCTTTTCCACCAAACTGTTCTTTATTTTACTGGTTTCGTACATTTCTGTTGCTAACGCAGATCCTGGTTGTAAATGGATGTTTTCATGATAGGTCTTGTTGGTGAAAACATTTTTCATTTTTAGCTGTTACAATTTATATCCTGAAAATGAATAAATGTTATAATTTGTGATTGATAAACCAGCAAATATGGTGTTAATTTAAACAAATCAGTAGGAAAAGATGTATCACTCATTGATAGTGTTTGTAATTTGTATATTTTATATGTGCAATGATTTTACAAAATATATAATGAGTGATTGTTGTACTTCAGTGAGTAAATGTTTAATGACTACTGACTAATGTTTTATTTAATTATGTATTCCAGGACATAATTTATTTAATGAAATTATTACTTTTAAGAAAGAGGAGCAGCAAAAAGATGTATTGAAATTACTAGGGACTTTGAACTATCACTTATGAGATTGTCCTAACTGTTGAGTTAGAACATTTAAGAATGTATTATGATTAATATGTTTATACTTTCTTTCCAACCTAATGCACTTAAACACTTTTTTACTGTTTAGTAAAGAAAGTTTCAAAGTTACTGTCTTTTGTGAAAACATACACTGGATACAGCACATTAAGATCTTTTAACAGTGTATATTTATCACTTTTGTCTCTATCTTGCATTATATTTAGACTTTAAAATAGTATTAATTTCACTAATTTACTTTGCCATATGGTGTACTGACTTAAAACGATTATATCTTTTAAGCATTGATATTTGTAAAAAATCAGTTTAAGATGAAATATAATTAAAACGTTAATATGAATATAATATTCTATAAATAATGTAAGCTTGAACATTTCATTACATTATCCTACCAACTTGAATCTAGGAAAAATACTAGTCATAATAATGGCTCCAGTAAATATAGTACCAATACTGAATATAAAGTAGTAGAAAACTTTATCAGGACTATGTAAAAGCATAAATATACAATTCTTTTTCATTTGATATTAAAATGATGCCATTTTCCCTACTTTGCTAATTACTGGTGCCAATATTACTGAACACATGCCTAGTGGTTGACTGGAGAAATAGCATGTAAACAACCCATTCTCACTAGTAGTCTATAGTGTGTCAGTAGCTTTTTGTATGCCATATATATATATCTGAAAATAAATATTTAGACAAAAGTAGTATTTTTGGTTAATGTTGGTGGTGTTATAGACAATTTAGGGAGGAAGAATTTAGGTATTACGTACGACTAATTAGGCAAATAGATTATTACAATTTAAAGCTGTTTAGTGTCTACAGAACACTTCAAGAATGGTTATTTTATATTCTCAAATTTAATAGAAATCATTATAAGTTCAGGCTAAAGAACTGCACAATCTAAATAACATCATAACAAAATATTAACTCCTTAAACCTGACTAAACATCCTGATTTACCCATCTGACGGTGACAGCTTTCGATAACATTTATGTCTCTTTGGCTGAAAACTAATCTAAACCATGTTATTATCCAGTTTTCATGAATGGTCCAGAAATTTTATAAGGTATGATGATAATTATTAGGACATCATGAAAGCAATTCCAGCAGAACGAGCAAAATATTACGGGTTTAAAGAGTTAAACAGTTAAGAATGAAACATGCATGGTTATATAATCATGTTAATTATAACTAAATTTTGATGGTAATATAAATATAACCAGATGGTAAATGTAAATGGTTCAGTTTACAATATTTTACGCACCCCAGTGGCTCAGCAGTACGCTTGAAAACTTATAACAATAAAAACCAGGTTTCGGTACCAATAGTGGACACAGCACAGATAGCCGATTATGTAGCTTTGTGTTTAACAACAAACAAACAGTAATTTTGGCTTATCATATTCAGTTTGAAACCATTCAACCTGAGGGCAGCATTTAACATTGTAACAAGATATTTACATAGCTTATAACAATGAAATGATTATTATTCCCATATAGCTTAGAACAGTGAGATTATTATTCCCATTTTTAGTATTGGTTAATCTACATATCAGATATAGATCTTTGATTATCGCATTTATTTTGTGCCTAGAAAGAAATCCAGGCCATGAGTGCATGCCATCATGAAAATGTTGTCAGATACTATACATCTTTTGTTGTGAAGGAAGAACTGTGGTTAGTGATTAAGCTTCTTGGAGGAGGTAACTATATTATATTCATTTAGGTGTATATCTTCTAGGAGTTGGCATTGCCAAAAATATCATATTGTAATAGATTGCGATATTTGTAAGTGTATTGTAATATATTGCATAAAATTTATGCTGGAAGATATATTGTTTTCAAATGTTCTCACAAAGTTATTTCAAGTATTATATTAAAGAAACATGAAACTTCTCAATGGCACAGTAAATGTCTTTTTATTTAAATAATATAGTAGTTATAGATAAACATAAACCTTGTATATAGCAAATTGTAAGTTGCATAATTATGTTTGTCTTAGATCCTTAAAAACACCGACAAACTAAGACTTATTTATGTCATTAACCAGTCTTGTGAATAACTAAAGTGGATTCTGATATTACTTCACTGTTCAATGCGCATGTAGTTGTTTATGTGCTATTTGTGTTACGGTCTGCCGGAAACAGCTAATGGCTTCTACTGTTATTTATTGCTTTGTTACCATAAGAACTTCTGCTCCAATGGGTACAAAGTCCTGCAATAAAACAAAACAAATGAAAAAAAAAAACAGGTTAAAAGTTGAAACTGTGAAGATAAGTAACTTGGAATTTTCTGACCAACACTGTAGAGGAAATTATGGTACAACTCATTTTATTTCATATTTTTTAAATTTTAATTTTATTCTATGTTGATGATTCTCTACACATCTGAAAGTCAAGTATATTGTTAGTGTAAAGAAACTAAGATATAAAATATAAAATGTTTACCAAAAAATAATTTTTGATATTCAATTAGGAGGTCCTATAGGTTATGTAAATGAAATATGAAAACTGAGAGTTAAAAAAAGTATTTTTTATTCTTAGCATGAAAAACAAATTACCTTTCTCTCAGTAAAGTCATCAAAATTTACAGTCAAATCTTTAGTCAAATATTTGTTTAAAAAAAATATTTCTTTTTGTGTACAACAGACTCTTAATGTTTGCCAAAATTTGTGAAGATACACTTAGTAAATTCAAAGTTTAACTATGGATAGTTTCACAGTTTGAGGGTTGACCAAGTTGTCTAGTGCCACTTTAATAAAAACAGTTGGTAGACTTCCTTCTGCAGAATAATTTCATGAGTTAAATTCTCTTCAAAATAATTAAAAATAAATGTTTAAAGGTTGTTTATTTCAGCAAAAACTTTAAGTTGAAGTAACTACAGTAAAAAATCAGTTCTGAGGAAATGTACCACTGAGGTGCAAACCACAATAATACTAGGTACTACTAGGTTTTAAGAGGACCCAAAGAGAGATTCGAAGAGGTGAAGATGGGATAGGGTTCATGCCTCTTTATCACAAAAAAGGAAAATTGTGCTTCACACTTTGTATCAGTGGGTGCATCATAAGAGTGACAGTCAAATCCCAGTATTCAAATATAGTAGCCCAAGAGTTAGCAGTGTGTGGAGTTGGCTGGCCACCTGCTTTCTACTTTATTGCTTCAAAATTAGACAATAGTACAAATAGCACTTAAGTAGCTTTGTGCAAAATTCATCAAATAAACAAACAAAATATCAATATAGTTTTAATTAATAATTTAATTCCAAATCGTCTGAACAGTCCTATCTTGATACTTTTTGAATTGGTTCTATTTTAATTTCTTTTAAAATGTGAGACAATTTTATGGTGTTTTCAATGTCTCAAAGAAAATCTGATCAATTTATTTCAAGTCTACAACTCGAATCATTTTAATTTTCAGTTAACATCATTCTAAGCATAATTTTATTCTATGTTAGCTTTCTGTATAAATTAAAAACTATGATATGTACTATTTTTATTTTATGATTAATTTCAAGCCCATTTAGCTAATTAGGACTCACATATTCACTATAAATATTTTTCTTATTTTACTACTAGTTTACTTTTTAAAATATTTTCTATCAACAAATTCATATTTTCATATGTTCATATTTTCTATAGTGTAACTGATTGGCAGAAGGTTTTTTATATCATAGGTTGGTCTCTGAAAATTTAAAAATGAGCACTCAGAAAAAGTAATGGCTGTCCAATGATATGTGCTTAGTTTTCCTTTTCATGTTATAATGTAGTGTTTGGCATTTAATTACAATGAAAAAACTTATTTTGATTCTATTATTAATCATATTTTGTAAAAACTTGTATATTTGTATCAAAACTTAAGTTGCTGTAATTAGTATTGATATGAGGACAATAAAGCTGACATACTTGGTGTAAAAAGGATTATTATAAAAAACTAAATAGACATAACTAAATTATTTGATTTGTAAATAAAGTGACATTTTCAAATCAAAAGTAACTTTGCTAATTATATTGTGCCAGGTATAGCCTAGTTGTTGGAAAGTCTTGACTTTGAATTTGAGGTTTCATGGTTTTTGATGCAGTTATTGCCACAGAAAACATGATATATGAATGGTGGACAAATCCCACTATTCAGTCAAACAATGCCCACCAGTGGCACGGCAGTATCTCTACGGACTTACAACACTAGAATCCAGGTGGACAGAGCACAGATATCTTATTGTGCAGCTTTGTGCCTAACTTCAAACAGTCAGACAAGAGTAGCCATAGAGTTGGTGGTTGGTGCTGTTGACTAGCTGCCTGGTCATCCAGTTTGTAATTAGGGACAGTTACGTGTAGCATTATAAATCATATAGTTTGGACCTTCAAGAAAAAAAGGATATATAACTCACTAATATTTTTGTTTAATCACAAACTGATGATTTTCTAACTTATAATCAGCATACAGAGCTAAAAATGAATTGTAACTCTTATCACTTTCCTTAAAAAATAAAACATTTTTCTATTTAAAGGGTCACTTTTAGATATCATACGTCATAAGGCGAGAAGAGAAGATTGTAGTCGTGGAGTTTTTGATGAAGCCACCATAGCAACAGTACTTAAAGAAGTTGCAAAGGGTTTAGAATATTTCCACAACAATGGACAGATTCATAGGTGTGATATTTAGTAAAGTTCCTTCACTGTGACTGAAATAACAGGATCTCTTTATAAATTTTAATCATTACCAAAATTAGCTATAATAAAATTATAATGTAAAAAAAACCACATTCACAATAATTGTTTCTGATCTGAGAATTGTTGATGTTTTTTTAGAACACTGCAAAATTTTGCTGTCAAATAACTGTTATTAGACTCTTCATTTGCACAAAAACATAAATTATTGTTTTACTTTAGAGAGTCCCCTGGTGGCTCAGTGGTAAATCTGAAAGCTCGTAACACTAAAAGTTAGATTTGGATGCTTGTTGTGGACAAATCACAGATAACTCATTGTGTAGCTCTGTGCTAAACAACAAACAAACAAACGTTTATGCAAGTTGTACTATAACTGCATAATATATTTTTAAGTACCTTATAGAGAGCAATAGATCCTGACACTGACTTAATGTGAGAGGTTTTGTTTTTTCTGTATATCAATAAATAATCTGTTGTTGCTGAGAATATTGTTAAGAAAACTTTTCTTTGCAGATTCAGATCATAAGGAATATAGTATTTTATTAGAATATGTCTTTATTTTAACTTGGGTCAGTTTATTTTTAATGATAAGTATATCTGAAGAATAAGCAACTGTTTGAAAATGACCTTTACATGAAGTACTGTACTCCAATTCCATTTATCTGAACATGCATTTCATCATTAACTTAGAACAGGCATTCTAACTTCAGCTGATATGTACTGTAATTTTATTAATAAATTTTAGTTACCTTTACAGAGTTTATAAAATAGTACATGTACATATGTATCAATTTCTATCACACTTTTGTAGTGAGGCATAAATGGACCCAGTGTTTAGTATATCATATTGTTCAGCTAAGGTTTTTAGGTTTGCATCCTGTTACCACAAAAAAATTTAAACCCTTCAGTTTGGGGCCATGGGTGAATTGCAAGAGTGATGATCAAATCCCATTATTCAGAGTAACCAAAGAATTGACAATAGGTGATGTTGACTAGCTGTCTTCCATCTAGTGTATCACTTCAAAATTAGGGATAACTCATCCAGATGGTCTTTGAGTACCTTTAAATGAAATTAAACAAGCCAACCAGTATAAGCATTTTATTTTGGGGATCAAGCTGTTATTCTCTGCTGTAGTAGCCTTTTAAATATGTCACAAATTAAATAATAAATAAATGAAATATTTCAAACTGTTTAAGAGAATTAAAAATTGATAGTTCTATGTGTTAAATTTTTGTTAAATTTAAAAAGTTTTGTTTATAATTGAGTTAATGATTTCACATGTTATGAGAAAATGTTTATGATAGCTTGTTTTTATTTTAAGGGATTAATATAAAAAACTTTTTTTTTTCAGAGATATAAAGGCTGGTAATATTTTGCTTGGAGATGATGGAACAGTACAAATAGCAGGTAATGTATATGTCGACACACACACAAGTGAATTTTTGTGTTTCATGTCTGGCAGTGACCCTAAAATTTAGCAAGAAAATGTTGTTTAACCAAGTATTATTTAAATAACAGATTAATGTTAGTACTGCATCAATGGAGGTGGTTTTAAGGAGAAATACTGTATTAAATTACTTATTTTATATGATTGGATATTCTTATATATGAATTATGTCAAAAGGAGTGGCAAGCAAATTATTGGAATAGTTTTTAGTTTATTAATTCAGTTAGAAATATTTTGTTTCACTGACACCTTTCCAGAACAATATATGGGAATTGGTTTTTTTTCATTCAAATATGAAATTAAATGTTTATGGAGTTGTTTATGGATGTTACCTGTATATCAGCTATAATTAATATAATTTATATTAATATAAACTTAGTATTATATTTATCTTCAAATAATTCTTAGCTATATGCTACCCCAAGTATTTTTCTATTGTTTATTTTGAACCAAAAATGACTGTTTTATTTAGAACTGCAATGTTCTGAGAACTCTTTCTGGTTAATGTACTAAAAATAAACTATTTATATTTATTTCCATTTTGAGATATGGTTGTGTTAGATTTTATAAGTTAGAAATTTAATTTATTACAGATTAAAGTATTGTTTATTATAGTGACTGAGTAGAAAATTGTGGCATTTTATAGCAAATAAGACTGTCTTGAAGAAGACTATATTTTCATTGTAAAAGATTGTCAGTACTTGGCTTTTAAAATGAAGTCCTTTGACATATGTGAATACTAAAACGTTTTGAATAAACTGTTAGTAAGTACAAACCTAATTATTTTTGTCAGTTAGTAACTTGAAAAAGGACTTTAATTTTTAACATTACATTTTGAGCTCAGTATAACATAGTATTTTGTTAAAGAATGATGATTAGAAAAGTCTATAGATCATATTATTTATATTGTTTTTAACAATAAAAAACATACTTTTTATATGTTTTTCTTCACAGATTTTGGAGTTAGTTCATGGCTTGCCACTGGAGGAGATTTGTCAAGACAAAAAGCTCGTCATACCTTTGTCGGAACTCCATGTTGGATGGCTCCTGAAGTGATGGAACAGGTATTATTTTGAAAGTAAAATTTTATATATTTCTCTGAATTATCTATAAAGATCATGTACCTGACTTTCTTTCCATACTGATCAGGTGTTCTTTTCCCACCTTTTGCAATGTCAGATTATGAAAATGTAACAAAACTCATTCCACAAACAGCAGAAAACTGCATGCAGTTTTTAACAGTAACCCAGTTTGGCTAGTGATAAACATCATTTCCAGAGGGGGCTTTATATGTGCATGTTTATATATAATAAAAGATAATTAATTTTGAAATCAACTTCTTATAAGATTTGCTTAAAATTGAAGCTATAAAAGGGGTATAATGTTTAGAACAGCTTTACATAAATGTTTTAATATGATTGGGGGATTGATAACTGTTATTTAATTACTGGCTGCTGTAAAAGTATTAATTGCACCTTATTCAAGTATTAAACTGTATTTATCCTGTTCAGGTAACTGGATATGATTTCAAGGTAGATATCTGGAGTTTTGGAATAACTGCAATTGAATTAGTGACAGGAACAGCTCCTTACCACAAATTTCCTGCTATGAAGGTATACCAACATTGGTTTCACTTTAAGTTGATTATTATTTACTAATTTACATAAACTTTAGAAGTGTATATTGTTTTTTATAGAATTTTGAATGTTGTTTGTTTTTAAAGTGATTTTATGATCAAGTGAATTAAAGTTTGAAAAGTAATTGTTTTGTTATGTATATGATGATAGTTTTACATTAAGAAAAGTGTATTCAAAATGTCAGAACTTGTCACTTGTAGACAGTATCATTATTTACTGGATTGTTTTCAGATTAAACATTAATAGACATAAATTATTTACAAATAAATAGTTAATTAAAAGATTTTTAAAATATATTCTTGAATCCTTGAATACAGAAAACAACTATCAATGTATTAAACATTTTTGGAAATCTTTCATTGAAATTTTTTTTATGTGTTAATCCTACAAAATTTATTGAAAAGTTTATACGTGGTGATACACTAAGTTAATCATTAATCTTCATCATCACTAGAATTGTCACAACCATCGGATTTGCTTCCTTGAATGCTTGCTTCGTCCTCTTCCGATTCCCACAGCATGTCCTCATCTGTTCATCCATTACATTGGATATGCAACATTTTTTTAAACCTTTAATGATGCTTTCATGATTTTCAGTGGTAGCTTCTATTAAAATACCTAACAAAACTAAATGTGCGCAATTATAATGGGCAGTCAATTTTTCGGGAGGTAATTGGAGGGAAAAAAAAGTGTGCATTATATATGGGCTAAAACAGTAATTCATTTATGTACAATATTTATAAAATTATTTATGAATTAGTTCAGCTATTGAAGTTGTTTACACAGATGTTAACAGTCATTTGATGCCTTACAAACTGTAAGCTTAAAAAATAACTGAATGCCAGCTTTGTAACAAAGCTTTTTTTTTGACTAACGAACAAACCTAGCCTCACAGTATAGCAAGACATCTATCAACCAAACTTGTATTATACAAGGACAAATATAAATTGTGCAATATCTTTTAGAATCATAAGAAACTGTATAAAGCAAAAATATAATTAAATATGAAGTGATGTAAAGTTTTCTCTGAATATATACTTTGTTACTGTATTATTTGCAAGCAAGCACACGTGGTTACAAAGAAGTAGTAAAACATGATTAAAAGCTACATTGAGTGTTAAAAAATGGTTTGTAAAAATAGCATTAAAAATCAACACTTAAGTTTTTATTTCTCTTTATTTTTAGGTATTAATGCTAACCCTGCAGAATGAGCCTCCAACTCTTGAAACAGGAGCAAAATCCAAAGACCAGTATAAGCGATATGGGAAGTCTATTAGAAAAATGATAAGTGAATGCTTACAGAAAGATCCTTCAAAAAGGTAATCTGTTCACTCCTCAAAACATGAAAAATTCATGTTTCATTGTTTTATATGTTTTCAATATGTAAAGGATTTTAATATTAATTTGGTTTACCACATACCATGTTTAACATACCAACATCTGTCTGAGCAAAGAAGATACTAGATTATAGAACTGAGTAATAAACTTGATTAATCAATATAATTGATTAGCTATGAGAATCAATTAGTGTCACATAAAACAACTGATTAATTGTACTTGTGATTAAATGGATTAATGGCATAAGAATATTCAGCTAATTGAAATTTACTGCAGAAGAAAGTGAGAAAATGTACCAAAGGCTGGTGAATGGTCATGGCTGTAGCTAGCTAGCTATGAGGTCACCAACATGCGGAACTTGGTTAAAATTTTAAATTAAATGTGATGTATTATTTAATTTTACATCCACATGGAAAAGGTTTACAACATGTAAATCTGACCCTATGTGTTTGTTGGTGTTTGGACCTTGGGTACATTTTCACTCTGGCTACAGCCATGCGAGTATAGTTAAACGACTTTCAAATAAACTTTTACATTGATAAGTATTGAGATAAATATTAGGATTTGTTGGCTATAAATTGCTAAAAAACATTCTGTTGTTTCATTGTAGTTACATTTTTATACATTTTCTGTTAGATCCAGTATAGAAAAAAATGAGTCCTAGCATGATCTCAATATAAAGTTAGTACAGTTTTACAATTTAAACTATAGGCTTAAAAATTGTATAGTGTTTGGCCATGTTTGAAAAATCTGGGATATTGTGTAAAAAAAATAACAGATTTTTATTTTACTGAGACATGGAAAAATGTATTTTTACATTTGGTTCAGTACCAAGGTAGACTGTTAATCTTTAGCAGATTTTATTGAATGCAGTAATACTATTGTCAAGATAAAAGTAAAAACCAAAAAACCTTTTTGCAGTAAAATATATTATTTCTTTAATTACTATTGTAAAACTGACACATGGAGAGGTGGTATGATTTTTTTGTTATATAAAGAGTTAAAAGTAATACTTGAAACTTAAAATAGTTCAAAATTTTAGTCTAAAGATGGAAATTACACATTTCTTACTTTTTATAAATTAAAAACAAAAAAGTATTTTTTCACCTATTACTTCATGTGAGGCAATGTTTAGAAAATTCCTAATTATATATAACTTGTCTAAGGGTACCATCAGTGTAGAAAGTAGCAAAAAATTAACCTTTCTTTTTATCATTTTGTTGCAACAGTTTTGTATTTTTTTAATCATATCAAGTTTGAACTTATTTCATTGTTTTTTGAGTAATGTGTTGGTGTAGAAACCATTAAAGCAATCTATACTCTATCATTTTTAATTCCTCAAACCTGCCAGTGTATGGCCGAAAATCCTGATTTACCCATTGGAGAGTGACAATACCCGATAATATTTATGTCTTTTTGGATGAAAACTAATCCAAACCCTGTTATTATCCACCTTGTATAAATAGACTGGAAGTTCTGTGAAACATTTTCATTTATTTTGAAACAAGTTTCAGATCAAGGGCAGAATGTATGTACAAAAAAATTACAGGTTTAAAGAGTTAAATGGCCACACCTTGAGTAATATATCTTTGTACATGTAATTGTGTTCCAGTTTAAAAATTTTCATTGTAATGGCTAAACAGTTCTTGTGAGATTTAACATTAAATGAAAATCAGTGCCCAAACACTTGTAGTTCGTGTGTCATCAGGATAATAACATGTTGAGTTGAGCAGTAACCTATGTTCATTAAATCAACTAATTAATGATGTAACAAATCAACACATTGGAAAAGAAGAAAGGGTGATCCTTAAAGCACAAACTGATTTAATGAACTAATGGTTTATACACTTCCATTTTTGAACAAAACCAATAAATTTCCACCCTGTTTTCATTTAAAATAAATTATTATAGTTAGTTAACTTTACTACTTTGTTTTCATCAAATCTATTAGTTTAATTTACTAGAAAATTTTAATGGTTGCATAACATGTTGTTTTTGTTTCTTTATTGTTGATTTACTTGTTTTCAGACCAACTGCTACAGAACTTCTAAAACACTCTTTCTTCAAAAAAGCCAAGGTAAATATTTTTTATAATTTTTTAAGGTGAAAGATTAACTTTTTACAACAAGGAGACTTGTTTATTATGTCTTTAAGAAGCTTTTGGCAGTTTAGTAATACAGTAAAACTTCATTAATCTGAATGCATTTCTAATGAAGTAGTTTCTTTGGATTATTGAGATATTTAGATAGTCAAATCAATCATTTTGAATACAAATAACACTGTTAATTGATAGATGTACGGGTGAAAACTAGTAATGGCAGGTTTGCAATTGGTAAACAAAAGGCAACTGTATGTACAACAAACTTATCAGTGTATTACTTGATATGTCACCAAAAATTATACAAGTTACATAATCAAAGTTACATATTTTATCATCATTTTCACATAGTATTAAGACTTGCTTTTGGATTTGTTTTCTTGTATAATTGCACATCAGATTTTTAATTATGTTTCTTTGCATCTATGTTTTTGTGCACTGTGACTTAACTGTAACATAAATCACTCTGATGACCTCTTGATATCTATTATAGTTTATACAAACTTTCTTACTGTGAAGATCTTTCTCAGAAAAAATTAGCATAGATTAGCACTACGTATGAGTACAGGTGTTTTGCGGTTAGTATTTATCATCTTCCAATGGTGTAACTGCAAAAGATGGGCTCCCTTATATAAAAAGTAATCGGGTCCCCTACATTTGTTTCCATATAATTGTAGTTATGATTCTGGCTGATTTGGGCCTCCTTCTGGTTTTGTTGCAGGGGCTGTGGGGTCATACTTATGTTACTGCCACCTTTTTCCTGTTTTGATTGATCCATAATTGACTCTCTTGCAAATATATGCATTATTGACTAAATTTCTCATTGTGAAGATTAGTTTCTATGAAAATTCATTCAAGTTATGAATAATCTGGATGACCGATACATGGACTAACAAGTTTCCCTGTAGATCATTGTGTGCCCTGTACAAATGTTTTATGCTTTGGTCAAAAGAAAACTGTATTAGTATTTCTAAGTCTTGGTAATAATTGCCAAAATGTTTTCCATTCATGATAGATTTTTTCTTAGAGTCTACTGGCACAAAAAAAAATCTTACACACTATCTATTCAAACAATCTATTCAAAGAAGATGTAGATTAACTAAACTTGGACAAAGTACATAGATATATATATGCAAACTATTTTTCTTTTGAAACTAAACTTGTCTTCATAACCTTAAATTAACAATGTTTCATATTGAAACTGTTCCTAGTGACTATATTTGAAAACAATTATAGATGTCAGAATGATAATCATTAAAACCGAGAGAAAATTTCAGACCTTTGCTGAAAGGAGATAATAAACTTTAGAATTAATTACATAAACAGACTACATAAATTTTATGATTGAATAATGTTTTAGTAACTGTTATTGTCCTCTACACCTTTATATACAAGTACTAAATTTTACTAGCTATAACACTGATGAGGCTGTCAATAACCTTGAAAAGATGGTCAGGGAGAATCTTATGAATTTATTATTAACATTTTACATAAACTAGTGATTCTTAAGTCTTGTGCCCAATACCTTAAACAATAATTTTTAGCCTTATCATTGTTACAATTTCTTAAACAAGATATATAGTATTCTGGAAAAAAAATGTTACACTTAAACTATTATCAAATATAGGCTTACTAAGCCTTGTGTGATAACTACAATTGAATATTTTTGTTAGATATTTCACAAAAAATAATATTTAATGCAAATGTTATTGAATGAGTTTAAACTGTGTATTTCAGTTTTGTTGCTATAAACTCTGAATCCACATAATTTATAAAGCTGCATATTAATTTAATTGAAATATGATTGTAATTGTAAAGTTATTAGATTTAGTTACATGAGATGTTAACTTTGTAAAATAAAGCCAAATTGTTCAAGGTTTTTAATATCATAGTGAAAGAGTAGTTAACTAACTTGGAATTTAATTATATTAATAATAAAAAAAAGTGTTGGAATTCCTCTAGTCATCTTCCAGCTAATGTTTGTGCTAAAGAAATAATGCAGAATATATAACATATAATTCTTGGATATTTTTAGGATCACTGGAGTATAATATCTGTGGGAACAAATTCCAAAGTACAGATTTTATTAATAGCATATTTTAGAAACTAGAATAACTTATCTAAAAACAGTTTTAAAAATGCTCTTCTAAATTTAAATTCAAAGATCTTATAGCATATATTTCATAATTGCTTCTGATGTTTTGTAATCTTTGTTCATTTAAGTTGAACTGTAATAATACTAGTAAACCTAAACATCTGCTGTAATGAGTTGGAATATTTTTTCCCACAAATGATACATTTTAAAAGTTAAATTAAACATGCTACAAGGTGAAAGTACTGTAAATTTTTCAAACATCTAAATCCTTTTATTATTTTGAAGTGGTTTTTATCCTTGCAAACAGTTTTGCTTTTTTGGTTTTGTTGGATATAAAGTGCAGGAGAGTATTTTAATTGATCACTAAGAGCTTATTAATTGCTAAAGCCAAAAGACTATCCATGACTTAATACTAGTGAGCTGTTGACTAGCTAGTTATATTAGAAAACAAATAGTAGATATTTTATATATGTATGTGCTTCATGATTTCATACTTGCTACTTAATACTTTTAGGACAAAAGCTACTTGATGGAAACTTTGGTCATAAATGGTCCAAGCCAAGAAGAAAGAGCAGAAAAGGTAATAGACTAACATATAACTACTGAAGTTTGTATTTAAGTTAAAATATAAATCATTTACATACTTTCCAAAACCAGATATCAATTCTGTGAAATTGTGATTGTCTTTCAGAAATTATAATTAAAAGTAATAAATTTCTTTTTACATTTATTTTTATGCTATTAGGTTTTTATAAAGACAAAATTAAGTGAGATGTTAACATTGTAAAAAGAGAACCAAAATTGTTTAAGGCTTTTATTATGGATGAAAGAGCAGCAAGCTAAATTTGAATTTTTGTATCTCAGTAGTTGAAGATTTTTCTAGGATTTGTTAAAAAATTTAGGCAAATGTAACCCTGTAAAAACTGCCTTGTTTTGAGAAAAATAGAAACATTTTCAGGTAGGTAAAGATGGAATATCATATAACATGAAGTTTTGTAATATAACAATAACTGGTTGATTTTGAAAGCTTTTTGGAAGTAGATAAATTATTGTTATTTTTTTTGTAAATGTAAACCATAGTTGTTTACCAGTTCATTTTAAAAAAAATAAAGTAAAATTAACATTTTTTAACATCGATGTTATCCCATATCATTAAAGTATTGATAAAAAAAATTGCTAGGGAAAGTACGTGAAGTTTTGTTCATTTTGGGAACTGATTGATACCCTAAAAATATATCTATTTGAAGTTTTTATAAGTTTTATGCACTTTATAGTTGCAAAACTATATTTTACTACCACTATAGGAATTACTTACACATATCTAGTAAAATTCATTAACTTCCAAAAGAATTAGTAATTTGTTGCTTCAAGAATTTAATATTTGATGTTATAAAATTCTTCTTGGACACTTGTGTAATATCATAAATAAATAAACACAGTTAAAAACAACCTGTTTTTGTTTACACAATAAACATCATTTTTATTTGAGACTGATCTACAGGCTCAATACCTTTAACATTTTTCAATGCTGTATACCACATCATTTCATTACAATTTGACTTGATTTCTAATAAGCTATAAGTGGATAAAAAAAAACTCTTTTACTTGGTCGAAGTGACTTTGGAGGATAGCAACAATGAATCTGTAGACTGAACAATTCAAAACCTACTGTCAGAATGAACTAGTCTTACACAGTAATCACTAAATGGAAACCTTCTGTTTCCATTGGTTATAAATAAGCTAATAGCAAATGTCAAAGAGAAGTGTTGACATCTTATAAAGAAGGATGTGGAAGGATGGTGTAGCATGTGAGTTTGACTTTCTTATTTATCCCTGTAAAGCCAGAAAATTGGATCCTATAAATATGTTGTTAACAATAAACTCAGGACACCTTATAGGGGCAATAAGAATATCCAAAATGGGCAGTTTGAAGCAAACGGGTGTTATGTGATACACAGAAGTGAAGATTGAGCACTTATCAAAATATTTCTTTTTGAAACTAAGAAATAAAAACTTATATGATATTAAAATTTTGTTTATTAACTATGTCATGATGTGAAATTTATTGATATATGTTGAAGTAGGTTAACTTAATTTTGAATGTAAATTTATAAAAGTTTGTAACATGCACACTTTAACCCTTACTCGTGCACATAGGGTTTAATCATATTCATTTCCCAGTGTCACTTTAAATCATGTTTATTCTTAATGGTACCATAAATCATGTTTATTTCTCAGTGTGAGTTTAAATTGTTTATTTTTCAATGCCACTTTAAACTTTGTTTATTTCTCACTGCCACTTCCTATAGTATGTTGATTTCTCAATGACACTAGATCATGTTTAATGTGCAGTAAACAGCTGAGTTTAAAAATAAACTACTTTTTTTTATTTTATACAGTTAAAGAACAGTAGACGTTTACCTGGTGCTGTTGGACGTTTGCACAGAATGGAGACTGGGGATTGGGTTTGGTCTTCTGATGAAGAGTCCAGCGAAGAGGATGATTATGTTGACTTTGCTAGGGTAAAGTTGCAACAAAAATAAACAACTTGAAATCCTTGAACTAAGTTTTACAGCAAGCCATAAATTAAAGTTTATTTTTTATGCCTTGAGATTATTTCAGATGTTTCTGATCTTTCATGGCAGGCAGCTTATCATTAGATGTATTTAAATATTTATTTTCAGCATAACTGTCACTGACATTTGTAATTACAATGTTATGTTAATTGTTATTACGTTTGTTAGTAAACTGCTTGATGCCATTGTTACAGAAATTTCTAATGTAATAGAGCTTTATAAGTTCTTGTTTACAATATAAAGTGTGTCAGAAAAAATTATATTACAAGGGAAGAAACAAGTTAAGCTGCACTGCTTCTTTATGATTCAGAATGTGAAGTGTGTAATGAAAGCCTGAAGATGTAAATGTAATGTCAAAACTGTGTGTAACAGTATTAATTAACTATCTTGGAAATGAAAGTGTTGAACTTTTTTGCATTTATATAATGATCAAAACGAATTTATGTAATTTGTTTAGCAGGTGTGCCTTAATAATTAGCTTTTCTAAGTTTATTTTATGTTTAAATAAGATGTATGCTTTAAATATATTTCACGTTTCTGTATTTATTTATAGGAATGTAAGGTTGTAGTGGTACCGCCATGGACAGAAGGAAGGCCACCATCAGAAGTAGGGTCTGTATCCAGTTCTTCATCATCACTTTTAATTCACCCATCAGAAGAAGAAGCAACCTTAGTTAATCAGGCTCAACATACATTTACTATTTCTGCTAAAAATTCATCCTTAGATTTGTTCAATGATTTGGAACAAGATACACTTGTTGAAACACCAGAAGGAGCTGTTAATTCAACAAAATCACAAGATACTTTGATTAAAACTTCAGAACTAGAAAATTTATTTTTATCCGAACAAACCGAAGAAAACAAAGAAATAGAGAAAGCACCAGAAATAGAAGAGTTATCATCAGTTATAGGAAATCAGGAAGACAGTATCTCTAAGCAATCAATTGAGCTGGAACAAAGTCAAGATTCTAAAGAAATCAACCAGATAAATGAACTAGTACAACAAACAAAATTGCCTAGCCAAACAAACAGTTACAACAATACATCCCAGTTAACACAAGAATGGGATGTTCAGCTAGGAGACAAACAAACTTGTGTTGTTACACCTGTTTTCTCTCACCAAGATAGCATAAATGAAGAAGGACAGACCACCATATCATCTCAGGTAGGAACTTTAGTCTTGCCATTTACTTAACATAAGCAAACATTCTTTATAAAATAGTTTTAGGTTTTAAATCAGATTTCTTTATTATTTTCTAAAGAATAGCAAAAAGAAAACATTTTCAATTGAGATTTTGAAATGAAATAAAAACAATTTTACACTGTACCTAGCAAAGTGACATAATGGGTAAAGCTAAGAGGTACATGTGTGACTATTAAATTTGTTTTTTGAGAAAATTATGATAGAAAAAAGGACAGTAAAGAAAATTTATATCTTAACTGATGAAATATTATTCACTCTTAACTTCTTAAATCATGACATCATTATAACTGTAATCATGGGTGTCAATAAGTTATGCATACATATAATTTAAGGACAACAAGGGACCTGTCCCACTTGCTAAACTAAACTTTAAAATTAAAATATAATGCTCAAAACAGCATTTATCATTCACATATTTATAAAACATTCCCTTAAACTCTCTTAAATTAACTGCATCTCCCACATCTGAAGCCAACCCATTCCAAAGGCCGACCACCCAGTTAGAAAAATAAAGCTGACTTCGCTGAAGACAACTCCTACCTTGCCAAAATTTGTATTTGTGTCCCCAAGTCCTACCATTCTCACCATTAAGTATGAAAAAGATGCTGCATTAACCATACACTATTAATTCCCTTTACAATCTTAAATACCTAATTAGATCTCCTCTAACTCTTCTTCTTTTAAAAAAGAACAATTTCAGAAATTATTCTCCTTGTATGACAACTTTTTCATCACAGACATTAAAATCCCACATAATTGCAACCTTATTAACAGCTGAAGTACTTATATCAATGTAGAGTTTCTCATTAATTCATCAGTTTTTTTCTGTAACAAAGCCCAACAAAATGCCTTCTCCCCTTATAACCACTAACAGAAACCGTAAGAGATTCAACCTCATTGCTGTTAGCTTTGATATCCTCAAATTGAACAGGATGTAATTCACATTTTACATATAAAGCCACTCTTCTACCCTTCTTTTTTTAGTATTCTATTCCTATTAAATAACATGCAACCCTGTATTTCAAAAAAATTCCTGTCATGAAAATTGTTAGTTGTTCCTATTACATCAAAATCCTCCAATCTGACTAATGTTGTAAAGTCATTCATTTTATTTTTTATATTTCTAGTAATAGAATAATAACCATTTTGTCTACCATTAAAACTGTTTCTGTACATTGTTTTTACACTATAATTTTCTGACCCTCACCATTGTCTAGTCCCAGTTGAAAGCTGCTCTTACAGTTGAGTTAATAGCCCTTGTAAATAAGTCAGCTTCTACCCTATTTAAATGTTAAACATCCATTTCAAAAAGCTTCCTTTTTCCATTGAAATGATCCCACAAACCTAATTAGCCAACCTGCTTGTCCTTGCATATTAATCTAAGCCTAGCATTTGTCCCCAGTAACCTACTTATAATTTAATCCCACAGGTAAATCTTAGCAGTATCGATGAAAGAATCAATTTATTATGGCTCTTTTCTTTAAAATACCTTTATCAATCCCTTATACTTATCAATTAGTTCCTCTGACCTTCCCTTCCCTACATCATTAGCCCCTATGTGCACTACAAAGACTGCATGGTCTTTACAGTTTATGGTATTTCACATCAGCATAGAATATGATCACTGTGAATAGTAATGGTAAGCTAATACCAATGTTGTATGCTTAAAATCAGAGATATACATCACTATATACTATATCACAAGCTCTGTCGGTTATATCCTCCACCCATGCCCCTGGATAGCATAATCTAATTATTTTCTCCCTATTTATCCCACAGAATATTCTTTCCACACGTCATACTAAAGAAGCACCTACAACTATAACTTCATTACATTTTTAATTATTGTCATTTTTGTTTTCCTTCACTCTGCTATTTCTTCATTTGCACAAGTAAAGGCTGAAATCTGTTACTTAACAGAACCTGCTCATTACAGTTAAGTCTACTATTTCTAGCCCTATTAGTAGTATTTCCAACTTTCTGAAAGTCATTGTTAGTTACTGTACCCTTCAAATGCAAAAGCTTAAGATCCTCTTGAAATCCTGTTGCCATCTCCCACAGTTCATTTTTCTATTTACCGCTTCTACTCTATTTAGGATGGCGTCAAATTTATCTTTCAACCTGAAAACTCATCGTACAAACTAAACATCTTCACTACTAGCTTCTTTAAAAGTACATGCCAGTCCCGAGTTCCCAAATAAAAACCACTCCTTGCACCTTACAAATTGTGACTATTTAAAACCTTTGCTACTCATAACTATTGTAATATGGGAATAAATGATCAACACCAAATACAAGTAGCTTATTGACAACACTGTTAAGCCTAATGTTAGAGTTACATATATTACACTATTTTATCATTACCTTATCTTCTCATTAAAGTAATTAAATTTATTTTTAAAATAAGAAGGGACAAATAACTAGTCTTTAGAACTGGAAAGTAAAGTAGGTTTATACTTTTTCTGTTAAATAGGAAGAAGAACATTTAAAAGTTTCAAATTCTGACTCCAGCATTAGTTTGATTTTGAGGTTAAGGTAAGCTTGTTTTTTGTGATAATTATCAGCAAAAACTTCTGATGCTTTTTATAATCTGTTGCATAATATAGAAAAATGGTAACTCAATATAACCTTGGGGTGTGCTCATATGAAGATTTAGAGTATAAGTTACTAGAACACTAACATGAATGTAAAAATTAAGTTTTCAAAAGCTTGACAAAGAAAATGGGTAGGAAGTAAATATTTCTATTCAAGAAAAAAAAAGAAAACATTTGCTGTTGTTTACATAAAAAGATGTAACAGACAAATTCTCAATTATCATATTCATTATATTTTTTGCATTAAACTTTAGAAAAGTGGGTGTATTGTAGTATAGGAATATCAGAGTTTGAGTAGAACAGGTTAATGTCCTGATATTTAATGGATTTTTAAATATGATGCAATAAATTCAGAAACGTGTGATAAAACATAAGAGGAGTAGTTAGCAGTAGCTTTTATATATCAACAATCAATGTAAATGTTTTACATATTGAATAATAATTTAGTTACAGTTAGTTACTTACAGCACAAAGTTTTCTAAGTTTTTAATATCAATTACATCCTGATTTCTTTCCAATTGTACTTATAAAAATTAAAATGTTTAAAAATTAGATTTACATAAATTTTATTTAATACCCTTGCAGAGATGAAAAGAAAGAGTTGAATGATATTAGGTTTGAGTTTTGTGAAGGCAGAGGTAAGATAGTAGTTATTTATTTTATCAGTATTTTTCTGTTATGTATTTTTTATGAAAGCAAACTAAAAAACAATATTGTAAATATAGATGTCAATAAATAAAACGTTTTATCTCTAATAATTATTAACAGAAATATATTTTTAGTTTTTCAAGAAGAGTTATTTCTGTTAAATGAACAATGTGTCTAACTTATGTGGATTAAAAGCTAGTATTTTCTGTGGTGTCTACACTAATATTCATAGACTTATTTATTAAACATTATTTGATTAGATGCTATTTTTGTTTTGTTTTTGTTAACTTCTGTGACGTAAATACATTATATGTCTATAGATTAGTGTGAATTTTCACACAATGAAATATGATTGTCATGTATCTTAAAAGCAGGAGCTATTGTAAATTATGCAGTACACATACACAGTTATCTTTGTATATATTTTTGCTTTTCTGACATTTATTTGAAGCTCGCAGTATATTGAACAAAATGTTTTATAGTATAATAAAGGAATACTTGTTTATTTAAGCACTGTAAGATATATTGCACAAAACAGTTAAAGGGCAATTGAAATGTATAATATTTTAGCTATAACAAGGCAAAATACCTGTCATGAAAAAATGTTAATCATCCTCTCAGCTCAATTTTATGCAGAGCAAGTGTCATGGTTCATTTTGTCATATAAAATGGAATTGATTGGTCATTCAAGATGTGCTTATAAATGATCATCTGTACAGTTGGATTTACATATCTACAGTCTGTGATCTTCCACCTCAACATAGAATATGATCACAATGAATAGTAAGGGTAAGCTGGTACCAAAGTTGTAGGCTTAAAACCAGTGTTGGTAAGGTCCTGAGGTGTTGTAGACCACTGCTCTGAGAGATTTATTTCCAAAGTGAATTTAGTGTATAGAGCCACCTGAAAGGGTGTGTCATCTCTCTCAAGAGTATCCTATGCATGCTGGGTTTACCAAAGTCTGATGAGTGTGGAGGCAATTCTATTTAGTTAATTCCTGTAGGACTGAAGTCATGGTCAATTTCACCAGAATATGGCATTATAAAAGGTCCAGTAATGTGTGGCACATGCATATGTAGAAATCAGTGCATGTACTAGTGCTTATTCCTACACATCATCATTATCATATGTATCACATTCCTGTATTAAAAGGGGTGGGATTTGGTTCTATATTCTCCCTAAATGAGTATCCACCTGTTACTTGGTTGTAGGGTGAATCATGACTCATCTGTAAACTGAGGCAAGATTGATTCAGATTACACACACAAGCACATATATAGGATATATGTATATATATATGTATAACAATGAAATTGGGGGGGGGGGAGCTGAGGGGTGATTGACATTGTTGTTAAACATTAGTTTTTGCTTTGTGATGGTTATATTACCAGTTATGATTATTTTTTAACCAAATGTGCATGGACTCAGTCAGTTGGACTGATCCCATATTGGAGAAAGAATCATGAATATAATTCCAAATTTGCTATGTAGCTACATGAAATGTGGCAAGCTTTTACTAAAATATACAAGTCTGTTGTACACAAAATATCAAATAAGTTACAAAGGTGTTTTTAGTCAAGACATGCCTGTGAAATGATGCTTTAACAAGTTGGAATCCAAGATGATGTTAATGTGAAGAATAAAAATACTTTTGTCCAACATACAGTTTGCATAACCTCTAGAACATCCAAAATGCTTATCTACAGTTTTTTTTCTCAGTATCCATGTGTATTGTATCTAGTATTTACTCTCCTCTACCACAAACTGTCACTAAATCAACAATGTTGGTTAAATGAATAGTTTATACCTCTGACATCAAATACATAATAACATGTTGAATAGCACTCTGTAAAAGATCATGGCTTGCACACTTTGCACACAGGATTGTTTTGCACAGTGTAGCTGTATAATTAATCAAACAAAAGCTTGATAACACATACTCATTGTTCGATAAAAGAAAGACTGAATAACATTGTTTATCATTCAATTTATTTATGAAACCTGTACGAGATATATCTTAGGTAACACAAGTCTTTAATCCAAGTTTACAAACATATAAATAAATAACTTGCATGTTACATGCATTTTAATTATTTGATACCTAAGTCAAAATGTAGTAGCTTTGAACTTCATGATTTTTTATCAAACACATGCAACATTTTCATTATTGTTGGGTTATATTTATCTTGGCATATGTTTCAGTAGGAGTCCTTATATCCCATAGATATATTTTGAACATGGCACTCCAGTCCTTCTGGTGTATCCTAGGTCATTTATACATATTTGCATCATTTCTATTTTAAGAATAAAAAAGCTGCACTGAAAAAGTTAAATTACCTTACTGATATCTAGTCAGTTCAATCTGTATAGTCAACAAAATAGTGTGAAGAGAAGATTGCAAGTATTTCTTCTTAGATAAATTTCCAATATTTGAGTACTTTGCCTGTATTAGACTATTTGCCATGTGCAACTTTTATTAGGTTTTTAACTTGTTTCTCTCTCTTTTGGAAAAAAAGCACTCGGTTATAGCTAATTAATCAAGAAACGGAACTATGTAATAAACCTAAATGAACCATTTTGTAAATTAGATACCACATTGAGCTCAGTAGGCACTAATTGTAAGTGTTAATTTTAAAGGATGACTATTTAAATATGTATTTTAACATGTATTTTAGTGGTGAAATTGGTTTTATAAATTGTATAAGAACAACCTGGATGAGTTGTTTGGGATATACTAATAAGTGTAAATTTATTTAAAATGGGATAGTATGCTCGATAAGATATAAATTTAAATCCAAGGATATACAGTTAGGGCTGTTATCCCCATCTACCTTGAGTTATCAGTAGCAAAACAGAAGGTGTATTTGTATGGAGGGGGGTGCGAGGAAAAAGATATTAAAAAAAAATCAAAAGTGTGCTAAAGTAATGAATATGTATTAGATAACTATAAGAAGTTTCACATTTGCAAACCTAACTGTGTTTAGTTTGAAACAAATAATTTGACAAAAGTGACAGTTTAGTATGTAGAAAACTGAATGTATTAAGAAACATTTACTAGTTCATAACAAAAATAAGGTCATGTTTGATATTTTCTTTTTTAGATTTTGCAGATGAAATAGCAGCAGAACTTGTAGGGGCTGGACTAGTGGAAGGAAAAGATCTTGTAATCGGTAATTATTTTTCCTACTTTCAAAGTAACGTATACATATTTGCTTACCACATTTTTTGTGACAAAAATTATGGTGATTATATAAGAAATAACTTTGAAATCAGGATGATAACTACTAAGACAAATTTTTTTTAGTTTACTTGGTGATGTCACTTGTTCTCACTTTTTCAACTTCTATAAAATTGTACATGATACTCGTATGAAATTAGCTTCCCTCTATTTTGCCTGGCATGGCCAGGTGGTTAGGATGCTTGACTCGTAATATGCGGATATTGCGGGTTCGAATCCCTGTCCCACCAAACATGCTCGCCCTTTCAGCCGTGGGGGTGTTATAATGTGATGGTCAATCCCACTATTCATTGGTAAAAGAGTAGCCCAAGAGTTGGCAGTGGGTGATGATGACTAGTTACCTTCCCTCTAGTTTTACACTGCTAAATTAGGGACGGCTAGCGCAGATTGCCTTCATGTAGCTTTGCGCTAAATTCAAAACAAACAAACAATCCCTCCATTTTGTAAGCATGATGTTTGAAGTAGTTTGTATTACACTCAATGCCTTTTTTTCATAGATTATATTTTGTTTCTTGAATAATATTCCACGGATATTTAATCATTTTGTATTTTTTTAAAATACTACAGTAAATTCATCCTATCGTTTAAATTTTTTTTTATATTTAAATGTAAGTATAGGTATGTTATGAATGAATTTTGCTTCTTATAAAATACTTTATGGCTGTAACTTTGTCAATAAATTGAAAGTGAAATCTACTTTTACTTTGCTGTAAAAAATTGACTTTGGAATTAGAAAGTACAGCAAAGTATTTTTATGAAATTCTAGCTTTAATAGGTTTCAAACACTTGGTTCTAATGAATAAATGTGCTGTTTTTATGCTCATTTTAAATTCTAGTTTCAGGTAAAAAGAGAAATGATAACAATAGTTTTGATACTTTAAATGGAGAGAATATGCTATATATATGCGTGTATATACACTGAGTGGTCACAAGTAAATAGACATCTAATTTTTCGTCATTTAACTGATTTATGCTAACTAATTTGTGTTCACAGAGCACTATATAAATGAAAATGGTCCGCACACTAATTATCTTGTGCTACAACATGCCTAGAACTCAAGGTTTT